CAAACTTGATTTTAAACATGTATAACATTCAATACAGAAAATATAAGCAGAAAAGTCTAAACTAAAACATGCTCTATAAAATGGAAAGAAAGGTCTAACAAGCATAGCATATATCGGCATAGGAATATATATATTTATGTGTTCTCAAAATTTTTATATTATTGTGACATAAACACAAACACACATGATAAATGAGGTCAATTCTTCCTTTAACTCATTGCATCTCACTAACTTACTTCCAATTTCTAATAGAATCACTACACATATATATTGGGTATTTATAAATGATTTTATAGATTCTAATCCCAAAGATAAGATTATCCCTGACATATTGGCTCTAAAGCACCAACCCCAGGCATCACCATATTCCAATAATTAAGCACCTCTAGCAGTTATAAAGATAGTGTAAATTCATCCACATATTACTCATCAAATAGGTTAGCTACTCCTATTAAATGAAAACAAAGTCAGAGAAAAGAAGTAACAAAATTGAGATGGAACTGTCATTATTAAAGTTCATGATGTCTCTTATAAAACTCAAGTCTGGGTGAGACCAGAGTCGTAGTGGACTCTTCAATCCAACTACTACAGGAGAATATATATGTCTAGCCATAATAAGAAGTTAAGGAATCACCTCCCTCATGACACACAAAAATCAAATCAAACCACTAAAAATCGAAACATCTACCAATCATCAATCAAACTGATCAATCCACAATAAAGAAAAATCAATACAACACTAACAATAATAACTTTCAAGCACACTAAATCAAACAACAGTGATAACTATGGGTTGTCTCCCATAAGGCGCTTTGTTTAATGTCGTCAGCCTGAAAAATGATTCCACCTAGATCAAATATCCATTTAAGTAATCCTTGATCAATCACCCAATCTTTTCCAGATCCATAAATTCCTACAAAGTCCTCGAATTAAAATTTTTCTTTCAGCTCTTCCTTTTTAATTTGATTCATATCATTGTTCCTCATATTTCTTTCTAGATCCAATATTCTTTTAGTTATTTTCTCAATTTTCATATTAACATCATCCTTAAAGTTTATAATAAATGGATCTTTATATGATACTTCATGATCTCCCAAATTTTGGATCATATTCTCTCTAGATAATTCAAATTTTGGATCACATTCTTCATGTTTACTCTTCTATTCAAGCTGGTCTTTCAATTCTTCCCCTTGGTGTTAAGTATATGGTATTTTTATATTTATCTTAGTTGAGGAAATAGGTTTTGCTAATTCCTTATGATTTTTTTTCGTTGTTCTTTCAATCTCTTTATCCTCATCTCTCAACTCAAAGTTCTTTTGAAACATATCCTCAAATTATCTTCTAAATATTAGTTTGATAATTTTAAATTGCTCATCATTCATCTCTTTAGGGTTTATCTCAGGGTCACTAGGTAAATTATCTCAGGGCTAACTGTTAATTGCATTAATAATCTGCCCCAATTGGTTTTCTATATTCCTTATTGCGACCTCTTGATTTTTTAGCTCACTCTTCATTTGAATCACAACCTCTTTCGACATTAATTCCTTCTCCTCATCCTGTGAGTTGGAGTTAAATTAAGGAGTATTATTAATGTAGTTAATAATCTGCCTCAGTTGGTTTTTCATATTCCTTATTGCGGTCCCTTGACACTCCATCTCACTCTCCATTTAAATAACAAGCTCTTCTAATAAAACCTTCTCCTCATTTTGGGGTTATGAGGAAAAGAAAGTTCATCATTAAAATCACTCTGACTATTTCAATTACATGTCTGATTAAATTCATTATCTTCCCAAAATTGGTTTTCTCTTCTAAAATATTATTCCTATTAAAATTCAAATGATTTTCCCAACCTGGATTGTAATAATCAGAATAAGAATTATGTATCTCATGGCTAGTTTTAATCCATTGTCCAAATAAATTTTCCTCAATAATTGGGGTTCCTTGAGGATATCTTTTTATGTATTGATCTAACTTCCCCTAAATATCTACAACTTGAGAAATTAAAATTGTAAGCATATCTTCTTGAAAATTTGCCACTCTTAGGGTATTTTTCTTTCAGAGCTACTAGCATTATAATCCAAATCTAAATATTCATTATATCGTTGATCTGCCATTTCTACATGAAATTCATTGAGTCTTTTCAAATCTTTCCCGAAAGTTCTCTCCAAATCTGACTTATAAAATTCAAGGTCTACAACTCCTAAACTATGCATACAAATCTAAAGACTTAACTAATATGAAAGATATCAAAAATATTTTTGGTATTTTGGATTTTCTATAAAATAAATACACAATTATTAAACACATTATATAATAATACTATAAATTTCAAATCTAAGTCTTACATGTTTAACTAAAAGTCTCTTAAAGTTCTTACCAAAGCTTCCCTGGTAACGACGCCAAAAACGGGATGCGCCCCTAGTGCGTGTTATTTTTCTGCATGTTTTATATCAATTTAAATCCCCGGGAATAGTACCAAAAACTTGACCCATCCTAAACTTATGCAATTATTTAGCTTCCAAAAACATTCCAAAATCTTGACCCAATTTTATATTAAGCATTTAATGTGCAAAATCAAAATATTTTATAAAATATACAAAATAGTTCACACACTAGGGGTTCTACGCAAGTCGCTTCAAGTAATATTGGGCTTTCTTTAAAAACCCTAGTATCGATCCCACAGAGAAAAGCAGTAAGAAATCTCTTAGGCTAATTCTAGTATACTACTATTAAGTCTTACTTTGTAAGATAGAAATTTTTATGATAATAACATAAATCACAATATTCAAGCTATAAAAATTAAAGTAAGAAAGACGAGTTAAAATGGGTTTAATGAATGTTAAGAGAAATGTAACTAAAAGAACTAAGTTTACTAAACTAATTTCTAAACTTCAAAGTTAAATTTAATAGGACTAGAGAAAGTTTTGTGATGAAGAGTTCAAATTTAAGAAAGCATCATTCCCCTTTACAATGAGTACATGGTTAGTGAAGTAATTAAAATCATATACAAAATTGTATTGTTCCAAATAGGAGCAATCCTATTCATTACCCTCTTTCAAGTGAATAAAGAACATTGACTAATCTAGAGTTTGGTCCCTAATTCACTAGTTAAGCTGGGAGGATACCAGCTGCCACTCTAGAGCTCCCACCACTCTCTTGCATGAGGGCTAATAATCTCGCATTAGTTTCCAATTAACTGGACAAAATTGAAAATTTTAATCTGTCACCTTCAAAATCTCCAATTTTGCATCCAACAAAGTATATTTCCCTATTTATTTGCACTCAACCCCATGGATGACATCCTCTCCCATGGAATCGAATGTGACTCTCACTGGAACATATGTTTCTCAACACATTTTAATATTTCGATTGACCAGATCGAAAAGTAAATGAAGATCAGAGTTCAAATCATCATAAATTATTGAAATTTAAAACTATATCAAACAAAATCAAGTCTTCACAAAATCGTATCTCAAAGTAGGGAGAAGGATAAAGGCGACTGCTCAGAATTCATGAGAAGGATACCACAAAATACATATTTCATAAATAAAAATAAGTTTACAAAATAAAAGAAATAAAAGACACAACTTATCTCACAATCCTCCCAAACACAATTTATCTCACACTCCTTCCCAAGCAAATCACTAGAAGTTCCTTTTAAGCACTTCCTCTCTTTACAATCACACCCAATTTTCTCCTAAAAATATAATGAAGAAGAAATACATTACCTTCCACCTCCTCTTACAACCCTAGAAGAAAATCCTATCTTCTCCAAAGCATTTCTCTCACTCTCACTCCACACTCATGCCTTAGACTCATCTCCTTTTTAATTAGGGGTTGCCTCCTTTTAAAAAGAATTCAAAATCTCCTCCAAAATTCTCTCTAAAAGTCACACCTTTTGAATCCCAAGAGACATATTCATTCATTCAAGAGACTTATCCCTTCATTAATGTGCCTTCTAAGTTTTATAAATGCATTGAATCACTCCAAGAGGCATTTAAATCATTTGAAGCCTTTAAAATCAGCTCAAAATTCATCATGAACTATCATCTCTGGCACTTCAGGCGCCAGTTCTTTGGATTTTGGCGCCCCAAGCAACACCTTGCAACAGCTCCACCATTTTACTCCGTTTTGCTTCGTTTCACCCCATTTCATGTGTGGTTCGCTCTTAGCAGATATACCTACAAAATAAGAATAAAAATAACTTTTGTTTAAAGTGTAATTTCATTCAAAAACATCTGAGAAATGTAAATTAGTTTAAGCATAGAAAGATATATCCAAATGTGTCAAGTAAGAATTTTCTTTCTTGCTTGTTTTTACTCCAAATTGCACCATTTTTACTTCATTTTCTCCAAAAGTCCATTTCTTGTACCTGAAACAAAAAATATGCAAAATATCTTTCTTTAATGTGTAATATCATTAAAATTCATTAAAATTGAGCATAAAATATATATGAAAAAGTAGGTAATTTTTAGGTGTGTCAATTAGCTATCTTCTTAGGGCTTACTTTCTCACAAGGTCATTAGAAATTGTTAGTGGTCATCTCCTCAATCAAAGAATAAGCCCATCAAATGGCTTTGACATGAGTGATTCACCAATGACATCATTAATAATAGATCCAAGGGATTTTACTAAATTATTATAAAAGTCTGAATAATAAGCTAATTGATAGTGCATTCTGTGGGAACTTTCTAAGAAGCTCCTTAAATCATTTCCAAGCCTCAAATATTGATCCACCTTTGTGTTGGCAAGATAAAGTAATATCATTCCATAGTTTAACTGTTTTTGTAGACGAAAAATAAATAGAAATTTTTGGGCTAATCAACCCACATCCAAATTGATTTATATTCTAATGAGCTCAACCACATTTTGACTTTATCCCTTAAGGTAAATGGAAAAA